GCGTTGACCCTGGACCTCAGAAAACACAATGGACCAACACCAGCAGATGACATGGCACCCCAAACCATCACTGACTGTGGAAACTTTACACTGGACTTCAAGCAACGTGGATGAAGTGCCTCTCTTATTTTCCTCCAGACTCTGGGACCTTGATTTCCAAAGGAAATGCAAAATTTACTTTCATCAGAGAACATGACTTTGGACCACTCACCAGCAGTCCAGTCCTGTTTCTCTTTAGCCCAGGCAAGACGCTTCTGACGCTGTCTGTGGTTCAAGAGTGGCTTGACACAAGGAATGCGACAGCAGAAACCCATGTCTTTCATACGTCTGTGTGTGGTGGTTCTTGAAGCACTCACTCCAGCTGCAGTCCACTCTTTGTGAATCTCCCCCACATTTTTGAATGGGTTTTGTTTCACAATCCTCTCCAGGGTGCGGTTATCTCTCTTGCTTGTACACTTTTTTCGACCACATCTTTTCCTTCCCTTCGCCTCTCTATTAATGTGCTTGGACACTGAGCTCTGTGAACAGCCAGCCTCTTTAGCGATGACCTTTTGTGTCTTGCCCTCCTTGTGCAAGGTGTCGATGGTCGTCTTTTGGACAACTGTCAAGTCAGCAGTCTTCCCCATGATTGTGTAGCCTATAGAACTAGACTGAAAGACCATTTAAAGGCTTTTGCAGGTGGTTTGAGTTAATTAGCTGATTAGAGTGTGGCACCAGGGGCCATCAATTTTGAACCTTTTCACAATATTCTAATTTTCTGATATGATGAATTTGAGATTTTCATTTGTTGTCATTTGTAATCATCAAAATTAAACAAAATAAACATCTGAAATATATGAGTTTGTATGTAATGTATGAATATAATATACAAGTTTCCCTTTTTAAATGGAATTACTGAAATCAATCTACTTTTTCATGATATTCTAATTTTATGACCAGCACCTGTAGAATGTATTTTATCATTACTTATGTAATTGTTGCTTTTCTTATAGTTATGAAGAGATGCTCTAGTAATGAATAGCTTACAATAATTCCGTGAACTGCTTATATGGATACAATACGTCAACCTGAAAAGTATCTAATAGAAAAATACAATCCAACCTGAACTGTTGGAAAGTAAAACTGGAATGACAATTAGGCCTCTTTCAAAATAACAAGCAGCCGTGGTGGAAACAGACAGTAATTCTTGTAATTTGGCCCTGCAAATAGCTGCTCTCAGTGTCTGTGTGGTGTCAAACTTCTTTCGCCTTAGATGATTTAAACACAACATGTGTCTCCCTATCAACTTAATTGGTGGCTATTTGCAGAGATCCCTGTTAGTTCTTAGGTTTTTTTAAGCAGCTATTACTCCGTGCCACTCAAAGCCTGCGACCTTACCATGAATTCAGTGATTAGAGATTGATAAATGCTTTTTGTAGACTTAAAGCAAGATAAGCCAACATCCACTGTGAACATGATACCATCTTGTCTATCCTTCTGTTTTTCTTTCAATTCTCTACTATTAGCAGTTTCTGTCCCCACCTAGTTCAGTATTTAATGTGTCTATGGAAAGCGAGTACACAAGAGGCTAATCAAAGCGATGAAAGGAAACAGATACTAGGGAATAAAATTGGAAAAGAGGAGTCAGGAAGTCGTGCTCTGACTGAATGAGGACGCTACCCTCGGCCTCTGGGCTGGATTTCTGTGACCCATTTCACTGCGATTCATCTCGTGCAATCCTGCTTCATCCTGTTAGGGGAATGCTCCGTATGGAAACTGAGTCAAATGACGAGGGACTTGGGAGGGTTGGTGTTCGGCAGCAGCTATGGCATATGTGTGTCAGGGGATGTGCAGAAGCGTCTGTGAGTAATGGGGAGAGAGTGAACGTGGAAAATAGAAGGCACAACCACTCGTAAATTACAAATCCAACAAAGAAAAAAAAATGGTTCAGCTAGGCGAAGAATACACAGCACGGAAATCATAAAGGATTTAACACAGCAAATGATTCATGAGCCAACCGTAGTCACACATATTGGCACGCTTCATCAGCGAGCAACAGTGCAAAGGTGATTCCAGCCAAAGAGGCAAATCTCATATGGAGAAAGTAAGGATGAGGAGGAGGAGAAGAAAAACGGGGAGGAGGAAGAGTAATGCAAGTGAGTCACAGTATTAACTTCCAGGCCTTCCGCATAATCATTTTAGCTCACTCTTCATCGCAAGCAGCTGAATCACCAGACGGACACGTGGTTCAAAGATTCCCCCCATCATTTATGTTACAGACTCCAATTTTCTTGTTTACGGAAGGTGTGTAGCACCACAAGAGGCTGCCAAAGGTTCAAACTGGAAGTTAATCTGCCTTGCAAAATGTAAGTTAAAGCTACGATGTTCTTTAAAAAAAAAAAAAGTCAAGTACTCGTTGCACTGGTGGCTAAAGAACTTTACTTCTTTGTTTAGTTCTTATAACTAGGTACTAAATGCATCATAGACAGAATTACAAAACTATTGACAATATTTTTGATTTTTGCTTCTTAAAAATAAAACAAACTTTAATTGGATTTTCTGTGGTATGAATGCAGATAGAAATGTGCCCCACATAGGTATTCAGCTACTTCAGCAATTAGTGCAACAATGGGCTCAGTGCATGACTTCACTACTTCTTCAACTTAAAGAAGCTTCTTGGGCTCTTTCCGAATGTCAACCCTGATCACTTTAAAGGGCACTATATAGTGGAATAATGAGGGTCCAAACATCTAGTAGATGAAAAAGTAGTGGACTAGAAATTTCCCCACAATGCACCTTGAAAAGTAGTGATTATCCATGGTCACTAGATGAGCAGATACAGTGCCCTCCACAAAACCCCTGTTTAAAATGTGGTCGAGGACTTCAAAAAATTCTCCCTTTTTTTTTTAAACAACAAAGAAAAGCAAAAACAAAAAGATAATAAATAGATAATAAAATGCAAAAAAAAGAGAAAAATCCAGCCTTTTATTTAAGTACATTACTTTCGTGGTAAAAAAAAATTGGCCACCCTATATAGTGATTGAGGGATTTAGGGGTTAGAGCGGATGTTCGGACACAGCCATGGTTTCCTGTCTATCTCTCCTGGAAGAATTGACTAATCCAGGTGTGGCTGACCCCAGTAACTATGACAACCAAATCAAGACACACCTGGATTAATCAGCTAATCCAGTAATAAAAGAAAGGAAATAACGGAGCTTCTTTAAGTTCGACAAATAGTGGAGTCAAGCATAGACCCCACTGTAGCTGCAAGATATAATTTTTGCCCAGCATAATCCTATCAGCATCGTGCTTTGAGGATGGTGCATTTCCTGTGATTCAGGATGCTGTGTAATTACAAATTACAAGCTGCACTTCTTCCAGCTTTCCTTCATTTTTCTATTCAAACAACAATCTAATAATTAGGTGGATTCTGACAACTAGTTACACCGGATTGAATTTAGGGGCATCAGAGTAAAGATAATTGAATACAAAAACAGTAAACAAATGTTATTTGCAAAAAAATAAAACTAAATCCTTTTTCCTTCAAAATAAAATACACTATGTTAAAGAAGCTCTTAATAGGAACTGTTTCTAAATGCCATGTTGGTGATAGTGACATCAGTAATATCAGAGCTTGGAGCAGAATATTTTTAGATGAGGATGACTCAAAATTAGCTACATATAATAGATGTTAAGATGTTGAAAAAAAATGTAGTTGATGGAGAAAAGGATGCATAAAAAGATTCCGTAAAGAAGATGAATATCCTATGGAGATCTGTTTGCTGCTGAGTCACATTTTTATATTAGTTATAGGCATGTACTGCAAGCAGAACATTAAGTCTTATTTTTGCAATCTAAACATTTCAACAGGTTGAAGACTCTAACCTTGGTATTAACATGACTGAAACCTGACATATATGCATTTCACAATAAGAATGGCTGAGCAATATGTAAAAGATAAGTTGATGAGTTTTTATTTACCTTTTTCAATAATTATGATGGATTCACTGAATTTAAATACGGAAAATTTGTTATGAACTTATCAGAGACATTTAATATATGAATTGATCAATACAAATTCCATACTTATCCACACTTGGAGCAGTTATGTTCTGATGTGTAGAGATAAAGTATATAAAAACCTTAAACAACTATAATATGTGGCAAATAGGAAAAGAAAGAAAAAATAAATAAAAAACCTGCCTATTTCTGCTTTGGGAAAAAAATATAAAATGTTACTGTTAATGTCTGATAATGTAAAGTTAAATGTTTATATAAACCAGTGATAAATACTTAAATAATTAGCTTTGTAATAAAACAAAGTGAATTTCTGTTAACATTTTTGTGTGTGGAAAAGGATGTAACTATGAGAGGCTGTAAAATATATAAAAAAGCCTCAGCATGTAGCACTCAGACCTGTCCCTGTGTAATTACAGTGTTTGAAACAGTCAGGCTTTAACTGGTCTGTTTAAAGCTGTTTGTGATCCAGACAGCCTCATTAGGCAGAGAATCAGGTGACCGCTGTCAGAGATTTCCCTGCATCAGTAATGAAATATCATTAAGCTGTCCAGAAACCCTCTCCTGTGTGTCAGAACCTCCCATTCGAAGGGCTCTGCTGGATTTGTTAAACAAACAAACCTCTAAAGGTAATCTCCTTACGTCCGTGGATTTGCAATACAAACAATCTTGATCAGTGAAACGCCGCAGGAGGCGCTCGCTCTCTGACGACAACAACAACAAAGGAAAAGCCCTCGTATCACCCTGCCTTATCATCATCTACATGTGCACCAAACTTCACCAATGGGAACCTTATCTTTGCCAGCCTTCTGTGTCCCCTTATAGAGAAACAGACGTTAGGTTCCAGCCTCTAACCCTTCCGAACAGCATCTTATAGACATAAGGTGTGTGCATATTTGCAGGCAACTATGAGAAACTTTGATAGTTCAGGAGAAAAACAACCAAAAAAGAAAAAAAACAAAAACAAAAAAACAAAACAAGACATAAAAAATGCAACCCCTTACTTGGAATTCAATGCCATAGTTTTCCCTGCAGAAGTCACGCAGTTTGGGGTAGACGTGCTCTTTTAGTGCATTCCTCTCTGCTTCAGTGTCTGAAACACAAAAAATAAGAAATACATTCATTACTGCAGCAAATAAATAAACTGGACTGAAAATTTCAAAGACATTCAACAGCAAATGTCTCGTCCGATATTTATTCTATGTCGAGTTTTTATAAAGTATGTGTATAATAGTAAAGAATAATCATATACTGAGTATACCTTAAGCAGTCAGTGATCTAAAATTGTTTTTTTTTTAAGACACTATTAAAATACACCCACACACACCTGACTGGAACACTTCCTTCATTCCCTCCTTAAAACACCATTTCTTCATGCTTGTCAACTCTCCGTGGCTCTCCACTTTCTGTTCCTTTCATCAAGCTCTTTTCCCTCTTTCCCTACACTTAAGTGTCTCTTCCTCCTACGCTGTGCAGGACAGTTGCATGGGGTGGGGGCTGCTGCAGAGAGTGTGATGGGAAACTCAACCTCAAGTCCACTTGATGCAATGAGGTGAAATTGTACACTGGAGGGTAGAGATTTGTGCAAAAACATTGATTATGTGAGACAAAGCCCACCCCTAGTGAGCCCAGTGTTGTTAGAATAACCAAGCCTGAATTAGCAAGGGATGAGTTAATGAGACAAATCGCTCCTACGGAAGCTGACTAGTACAATTATAAAGGGAAAATTAGTGTCTACAGTCTACCTCTCCACTCTGTTCAGCATTATTTGTGTGTGGTAATATAAGGGTTATTTATTGCTGTTTTACTTTAAAAAATCACATAAAATGATAACAAACAGCCTGTATCTGTTATTTGTGAATATGCTTTATAAAACAATTGTATTTGGATCTAATATTATGATACCTCACACCAGCCTTTTACAATCAGACCATGATTGAAACAGCTGCTGTCAGAATGACTAGGAGGCAACTCAGATCTTATTTTAATCACATAGAAGACAAGTCAAAGATAATATTATAATAATCACTCACATGTCACAACCCCTTAAAAGACCAAAACAAATTTCATAATGACCTTTCAGTTAACATTACACATATTTATTCAGAATCAACACAAAGGTTTGATAGATTGAAATAGTTTATATATGTTATGTTATAAGTTATGTTAAAAAATGTGAGTCAGCAATTATAATCTAAGGTTATATAAAAAAAAAAGTGAATTTTACAAAATGTGAATTTGTTATAGATATTCACATTGAGAATTGCGAGATGTCATTTTTTTTAATATTAGGTCAAATTACAGTTTTTTGTTATGACATTGATCTTCATTTTTGAAAATTTTATAATTTGGCTTATCTAGCACCGCTGTTATGGAGTGCACACATACCAGTAATGGAAGGTATTTTCTTTTGTTAACATTTCTTTCCTTTCTTTGAGTTGCCATGGTGGGGGATGAGCCTCTTTCCTGAGGAACAAATGACCTAAGATGTACCAGTAAACTTTGGGAGGGATTTGTGTTTAGTTAGTTTAAATGTTTTCCTTATTTAATTGTCAGCCATCTTGTTTTCCGCTGTTTTTGTTTTTGGTTTGGCCAAAACACTATATATGTTACCCTCATGTGTCATTGTGCTAGGTAGTGATTGTGAGATGAAACCAAATTAGGTGTTAAACCGTTTGGGCAAATTGCTTCAACGATCTCCACAGTTCATGAAACTTCATGTGAACATGTCACCACCTACTGGTGGAGTGTGGAACTACAGTTAGCAATATAATTGCAATTTCTTTTTTTTTTTTTTTACATTTAAGTTCCTTTGAATTGTTTATGATTGGTGTGTATAATGAAAGTTTTTTGTAATGTTTTTTGTGTCCATAAAATGTCTTAGAAAAGAACAATATTTTAAGGTATACTGTTTTTCTGTCATTTTAGTGACATAAGCTCAAGCAGTGTTTGTGCAAATCAGGCAATGATAAGCAAAATGAAAGGTGTTAGCCGTTTTTAGTCGAAAATAATATTTTTTTCACAGTTTTGGTTTGGTTACATAAAATCTTTTCCAATTATTACTGTCTACTGATTATCCACTGCAATAATGGGGAAGTACCCCCCCCCCCCCCATCCCCTTCCCTTATGACGTACAATCTGGAAATTTTATCAAGCTATTATACATTAGGCGCTTCAGGGGAGACTTTACAGAACCTAAATTTTTTTTGGGGTCAGGCAGTGGGTCCATCATTTTAACATAGAAATAGTACAGTGGCTTTCAACTGAGGAATGGGCCTTAAGCCGCAGTAACAGCTTAACTTTGATTTGTTCTCATCTGCAGAAAATCTCTGTGCAAAAAGTCACAACTTGTAAGTGCACTGATGGCATAAAAAAACTCAGAGGTTTCTGTCAAGGAGTTGTTGTCTATCTTTGCTTGATGAAGTTATAGCCCTAAATAGAACGGACCATAAATATTGGTAAGAGGTCGCAGTGTTTTGAATTTGACTTACGGGACCAGGTATGTCTATTTGCTACGGTGAAGGTGAATAAATAGACAATCGTGCTGTGCAGCCTAAACTGCTTAAGAAAGATTTTGACCATAACATTTTTTTGCTCAATTCCAAATATGTCACACGTAAATGCTATCAATTGCAACTGCATCATGTATGGAAATCCAAAACTGCCACAAATTCAATAAATTATTGATAAATGAATAAAAGTCGCAACATTTCTAACCTCAAATGTAAACATGTTAATGCCATTTGCAATGCATGCTACCATCTGGCCTGTTTGGCATCCTTGTTGCAATAAAACTTTAAATAATCCTAAACCGGACTCTTGAATAACTTGAATTTCTTCTTGAATTTCTGCTGTTGCATGCCTCTAACCTTACATTACCACGTAACAGCAGGTATTAGCTGTTCATCACCCTTTCAATGAACAGCAGTGTCCTCTAGTGGATGATAACAGTACATCACTAAAAGAAATTCCTTGAGCTGACACTATCAATTAATCGGATGGAATAAATCTTAATCTCATAAACCACAAATCCACAATTAATTATAAGTAAATTTTTTTTTACACCTCTAATTTACAAGCATCTTTTTTCTGTTTATTTTTTTCTTTGCGTTGCTTCTACTGTAGTGTTTCTTCTTCTTTAAAGAAAGAATGTCAGCCCATTTTGAATCAGGACTTATTTCAGTGTCACTTTTTTACCAGCTTTGGTTACCCTATTCACAAGATCTTTTTAATCAGCCGCAATTTACTGTGGGGTAAATTTAAGGTAAATTTTAGTATTTAGGCTTCAAAGATTTATAGTAAGAAATATAAATATAGCTGCGGGCATTTGTCCAAACAAAGCCTGTTTTAATGAGATCCAAGTTATTCATTTAAATCAATTATTTTTTGGGTCAAACTTAACCTTGAGTTTAGAATAGATAAAAAATATATTTTTTTTATTTTGCTGTTTTTTTCTAGTCCTCTGATAGACTGGCAACCTGTCTAGATAGGCACCAGCACCCCTCGTGACCCCAGCAGGGATAAAGCGTGATGGAAAATGGATGGATAGTTTTTCCTATATGCTTTAAAGAAAAGCAGTGTTTATTCCACACTGTATTACAAAGTGGAAACTCCACTGCTTATATACGTATCTGTCCCACTTTCTTTTCCCGGAAATTTTTCACCAGTCTCCAAATGGTTGGTGTAATGTATTCGGACAGGCCCAGTCTCAGTTTCTCTGCCTATCTGTAAGGGGTGCGGATCGGGAGTTAAAAACAGAATATGCCCCACGGAGGCTGCCCTGTGCAGCAGAAGAAGCTCACACATACGGGCAACAACCAGCCCCTCAGCTGCTGACCGTGTCATATGCAGCGTGAGTGGACGAATCCAGAAATCCACTCGGATGTATCTATCTCTCATCTATCTTTAGTAAGGCTTTGGGCCGTGACCGAGCAGATATCAGCAGCCTCTGCAAAATGTCAAACCAATACCCAACCAGAGTAACTGTACACAAAGGAAATACAGACCCATACTATAAATGTTATCACCACCAAATAGGCTTAAATTGGAGGCAGGCCCATGTGAAAGAATGGCTGCCTTCCGTTTAAGCTTGTTTTGTGGCTGAGAATTTGTACAAGCATTAAGCAACATACTTTAAAGTCTCACAGGGTATAAAATATCAACCATAATGGCGGTGTTTATAGAATTAAAGTTTCCCTGGTGTGGTATGTGTAAGTGCATAAAGAACCCCACTTTGCCCCAATGCACTTAACTGTGTTGCTATTCGAGTTATGGCAATAACAACAAACTGTCTCTTTCCTTTCTGTGGGATGATGATGAGTTATGGCAGCACTGACATATGTGTGGGTCCGTCGTCCACACAGCAGCCTGCAGAAGAACAAAGACTGGATCCTACAATCGCCTCCTTCCTCTCCCTGTGTGTCCATCTCTATAGTTTCCCCTTCTGTTTATCTGACTAGCGATGAACAATACAGTTTTCATATATGTGCTGTCAGCTCCCTTTATTCTCTCTGTCAAGGTCTTTTTACTTTCCTCTTTTTCTCCATTTTCAGGAGATGTAATGGATGGACGCAGAAATAAGCTGCACGTCCCTGATGATTCCCTTTCAAGTCACTATTTTTAGACTAAGTTCCCAAAATAGTTTGAGATCTCAAAGAAACCTAAGCTGATGCTTTGATCCTTTTTCATCCTTTAGTCTAATTTTTCCCCCTTATCTAGTTAAACAGATAATGAAAAGAGAAACTCTACTTTAGTGGTCAGATTTTACTAACATCATCAAATAACAGTTTTACAGTAGTATTAGGTTCTAATAAAGGGGCTAATCCTCAACATTTCAGAGGACTTATATTCTCTCACTGCTCAATCAGAAAAAAACACTAGTAAAATCCATGTTGAAGGAAAAAAAATATTTTCTGATTGTCTTAAACCCTGAAACGGTTTCACTGAGGGATTCAGAGGTATATGAAAGTTAAAACAGGTGTCTGACAGCGTTCCCTTTTTTTTTAGGTTAATCTACAAAGTGTCTTCAGTTACAAGATTTCAAATAAGAAGAGTCCTATAGTTTTACATAGATATCACTATGAAAAAGTTCCA